CTTTAGAACAGGACAGTGGCCCAGTAGCCAAGGCCAAGAGATGCCCTGCCTCCCTACCCAAGAAAGAAGGAGAAGAAAGAGGTGGGACTCCATCAATGCCTCACACAGCCAGCCAGCTTCCTGCACCTCCACAAGTCGTGGGTTTGTGTTTGCTGTGGTAAGACAGCTGTGTGGCTGCAGTGAGGAGCTGCTCATGAGTAGCTCAGGGGTGTCAGTGCCAGAGGGGGTACTAAGTCTCGTCCACTCATCAAGTCTTGTTAAGGTGACAGACTAGAAGTTTGGATAGGAACCTTGGGGGCCAGTGAGTTTATGTTAATGAGGGAAGAGCACTCTGGAAAGGAGAGTCAGTACATTCACGCCACTCAGAGAACGTGACCTGTGTCACTGAATTGTGGAGGCAGAAGCTTGAATTGGCGGGTGCTTTGCTGTGCATATTCCCAACAACAACAATAAATAAAATTCAGAACAAAGCTACCGTCGAAGCACCTACTGTATTCTCGGACGCAGCAGTGAGCCAACGAGGACCAATTCTGTGGCATTTGGCTCCAGGTGGGGGGAGAGGCCTGAAGAAGCAAACAGGCAAAGGAAGTGAGGTGTGAGGGGAGGAGTCAGGGAGGAGACGCGGTCCCCCTGCACAGGGCCAGAGCAGCTGCCCTCTGTGGACGGCTCCCTTCCTCACACAGCGGCTCCTGCAGCTGACATTGGAGCTCAGCGTTAAGATGTACTACCTCCCCTTGGGTTGTTCTCTTTCTGTTTTATGCACTCGGCAAGTTCAGGAAAATCGTGCACCCCAACTCTTCTCCACAGACAAGTGGAATGAAGTCCTCCTGTCACCAAGCATCTCTGAGTGATGAGGCCTCCTGGCCTGCTTGCCACAGCCCACGTCAGTGTGGAAACACACAGTGCCTGTCCCTGCACGCATGTCTAAGGTGCCCTGAATCCGGCGAGAGCCAAGAGGGAGTGGGCCTCTGGGGCTGGCAGGGTGCAGGGCCTTTGATGATTTCTTCTGCAGCTGAGGAGCTGGCATGGGGGGCAGACAACATGGGCTGGCATCCTGGCCCTGGCACTTCCCAGTTAAGGGGAAGTGCACCCTGTGGAGCTCAGACTCCACATCTTGAAGTGGGATGATAACTGGTTTCACAGACGTGAGGAATGAATGAGATGACATGCACTGTGTACGTGGCAGATGTCATGTAACCGCCAACAGTAGTTACAGTTACTAGTAGTTATAATGTAAGTGGAAAGTCCCCACATGTCACTAAAGGCATCCTGGTAGTGCAGTGGCCAAGTGCTCAGCTGCTAATCAGAAAGTCGGTGGTTCAAACTCACCAGCCACCCACTGAGAAAGACGTGGCAGTCTGCTACCATGGGATTATGGAAACCCCATGGGGAAGTTCCACCCAGTTCTGTAAGGTCGCTGTGAGTTGGCATTGACTCCGTGGCCATGAGTTTGTTTGAGGTTAGTTGGCACAAACAGTTTGACCTCAGCTGCTAACCTGAAAGAGGTTGGCGGTTCAAACCCACCCAAAAGTACCTCAGAGGAAAGATATGGAGATCAGTCAAGATCACAGTGTGGCAAACCCTATGAGGCCAGCTCTGCTCAGGCACACACAGGATCGCCGTGAGCCTGTCAGCTCACCAGCAGTGGGTCTGCATTAAGTCACCTGTAACCAGGCCTGGCTGTGGAATTCTCAGGACCCAGTACCGATTCATAACATGGGCCTGTGCTCCAAAGACGGAAAGTGCTGTTAAAGGCTCTCACTTCATTGACCATCCCCTCTGCTCACACATGCTCCCCGGTCTCCCCAGACTTCAGTTACACAGCACCAGGTCCAAGCTAGAACCTGCGAGAGCCGGAACCTGTGTCAGAGATCTTCCGCTAACGGAGCCGTGGCGGAGCGGTAAGACTGCACCCTGCGAGAGGCAGAAAACTTGTGAGCCTCCAGAAAACGAGGCAGCACCGTTGAGAGCCGGCTCTCACACGTTCGCTGCGTTAGGGATCCCCAGATGGGGCCCAGTGTGAGCCCCCTTCTGAGCGCAGCTGTGACTGCACTGGTTGTCCTGCACGAGGCTGGCCAGCCTGGAGAGGCCCTGCACGCTGCCATGTGCATATGCGGTCCAGGCACATACGCCTTTCTCTGAAAGGATTAGAGGAACTCTGGTGGCGCAGTGCCTAAGGCACTTGACTGTTAACTAGAAGCCTGGAGGTTCAAACCCACCAGCCACTCCTTGGAAGGAAGACTGGGCAATCTGCTTCCGTAGAGATACCACCTCAGAAACCCAAGGAGGGTTTGAAGGGTTTAGGGGACACACCTGGTGATTCCTCAGTGGTCTTACCTTGGAGGCCTGCCCGATTCTGACTGGAGGCAGAATTGTCACTTCATCACCCCCACACTTCCACACGTCCTGGCTTGCGTACTCGGCTTCAGGTAGCATCGTGGGCCAAGCTGCGAGCTCCTCTTCCCCTGTCCCACCCCGTCCCACGCTCCGTGTGTTTGAGGTGCAGTTCCACCTGACGCGGTGGGTAGGCTGCGCTCCCGGTGCGGGTGGGGGCGTTTGTCTGGTGTCTCTTCCCGTTTCATTATTTTAAACTTTTCTTTATCACTGTGTTTTACCTGCTTATTTGAAACACAAACTGTTGTATATGTAGTATGTGGTGTGTGTGTAGCGTGTGATGTGCACGTAGTATGTGATGCACATGTAGTATGTGATGTGCATGTAGTGTGTGGTATGTCTATGACTCTGTGTGTGTGTGTGAGTGTGTGGTGTATGAATGTGTGTAGTGTGTGGGTCTCTGTCATGTGTGTGTGTGTCTGTTTTGTGTGCACTGTGTGTATGAGTGTGTGTATGAGTGTATGGTATATGTATGTATGTATGCTTGTGTGTCTGTGTTGTGTGATATGTGTGTCTGTGTCTGTAGGGTGTGTGTGTGTGTGGTACATGAATGTGTATAGTGTGTGTATCTGTGTTATGTGGTGTGTGTGTCTGTGTGTGTGTGTTAGTGCCTGTGTGGTATATGAATATGTGTGGTGTGTGTCTGTGCTACATGAATGTGTATGGTGTGTGCCTGTAAGTGTGTGTGAGTGTGTGGTATATGAATGTGTGGTGCGTGTGCTGTGTGTGTGTCCGTGTGATGCATGAATATGTATGGTGTGTGTCTGAGTGTGTGGTATATGAATGTATGTGTCTGTGTGTGGGTCTATGTGATGCATGGATGTGTATGCTGTGTGTCTGTGTGTGTGGTATATGAATGTATGTGTCTGTGTGTGGGTCTATGT